ATACCCTTGCAGAATACTCTGTAAATTATATTCTCCAAAATTATTCATATGATGCATTCTTAATACTCATAAAAATCCCAACTTCCTAACTTTAAAAATACCAAAGTTATAGCATTTCCAATCGTTCAGTTATATGGCAGCAATAAGATATAGTCGGCCGATCCTTATGAACTTTGGTAGGTCGGATTGATTGGCCAAAAATAAAACCCATAGAAAATCACAACTTCCTAACTTAACAAACACCAAAGTTATGGCATTTCAGATCAATCAGTTATATGGCGACTATAGGATATAGTCGGCCGATCCTTATGAAATTTGGTAGGTCGGATTGATTGGCCGAATATAAAACCGATAGAAAATCCCAACTTCCTAACTTTACAAACACCAAAGTTATGGCATTTCCGATCAATCAGTTATATGGCAGCTATAAGATATAGTCGGCGGATCCTTATGAAATTTGGTAGGTCGGATTGATTGGCCAAATATAAAACCCACAGAAAATTCCAACTTCCTAACTTTACAAACACTAAAGTTATGGCATTTCCGATCAATCAGTTATATGGCAGCTATAGGATATAGTCGGCCGATCCCGGCCGTTCCGACATATATACTGCGTGCAAAGGAAAGAAGGCTGTGTGCAAAGTTTCAACTCGATAGCTTTAAAACTGAGAGACTAGTTTGCGTAGAAACAGACAGACGGACAGACGGACATGGCTATATCAACTCAGGAGGTGATCCTGATCAAGAATATATATACTTTATAGGGTCGGAGATGTCTCCTTCACTGCGTTGCACACTTTTGACCAAAATTATAATACCCTCTGCAAGGGTATAAAAACAAGGTACAAAAAGGTTAGATATTTTTTAAAAACTTACGGGAGGTGATGAGCGTACCGCCACATTTAGCTTCAAGGTCTTTGAAGAGCAGTACCATTCAAGGATTGGCGTATATTTCAGCATGTTGTCCTCCGATCACCCGTTTAACCCTGTGCGAAGTCCTTGTTGTTCCGCAATCGGGTTCCAGCAAATGGGCGGATCCTTTCTTACAAAGGAACAGACAGGCTAATGCCGCAACTCCTAGTATAAAGCCCTTCATGCTTTGTAGAATTCGTTTAGAAGACTGAATAAATGCCTCTGGCGCGGTCCATTTATATAGGACTGTTGTCCTATAAAAATATATAGGACTGTTGTCCTAAAAAAATAGCGATAAGAAAGCTGGGTTTTTTTCAAAATTATTTTTTGGCCTTGAGTTCAAAAAGTTTAGGTCACGGTACAGTTATCAGGCAAACATTGAAAGTTCAATTAAGTCTGCTTAAAATTTTTGTTGGCCTGTGTTATAAAATTTGGTATTTATACCCGTTACTCGTTGAGTAAAAGGGTATATTGTATTCGTGCAAAAGTATGTAACAGCTAGAAGGAAGCGTTTCCGACCCTATAAAGTATATATATTCTTGATCAGGATCACTAGCCGAGTCGATCTAGCCATGTCCGTCTGTCTGTCCGTCTGTCTGTCCGTATGAACGCTGAGATCTCGGAAACTATAAAAGCTAGAAGATTGGCATTTTGCATGTAGATTTTAGAAGTTCCTACGCAGCGCAAGTTTGTTTCGAAATGGTGCCACGCACATTTTAACGCCCACAATCGCTTATATACGATTTTAAAAATTTAAATATTTCGGAAAAGTAAAAATGCAGTTTTATTGTGTTTATCAATACCTATCGAAATCGCTTATATACGATTTTAAAAATTTAAATATTTCGGAAAAGTAAAAATGCAGTTTTATTGTGTTTATCAATACCTATCGAAATGTAGAAGAAATTTTTAAAATCGGACCATTCGTTAAAAAGTTTTGCGTGATCAAAGTTTCTAACTCCATCTCCCTCGCACTCCCTTTACGTGAGTAACTGGTATCTGATAGTCGGGGCACCCGACTATAGCGTTCTCTCTTGTTTTAATTAGTGAGTTCGAAATGAGCTCAAGTTCTTATAGGAGACCGTAATAATTTCCCATTTTTTTAAATTCTCAATATAATTTTAAATGCTTCTAATATAGTATTGCAATATTATTTATATATATCACTGTTTTTTGTTGGATAATTGATGCATTTGCGTCAATTCGTATTCATTTCCAGACATTAATATAGTTAGAATGCCTGGTTTTGTCGATTCTAGGTGAGTCCCTATTTTATATTTAACATGACAAAAAAGAAGTACAATCCAACTCTTCACTTACCTCTGTGACGACCCAGCGTCACAAATAATAAAAGAACATTCCAAAAACAACACACAATGATCTTTTATTCTCCCTACGCTACACCACATTCAAAACACGCGCCAAAATCGCGCACTTTCAAAACGCGCGCCCAAAAACATTAAACCGGTCACACTAATATACCGATAGTCGACTGCCATCGCTATATTTCGTGACCCGATAACGAGTTATCGAGATCGGGATTCTCGTCATCGACCACTCTGGGCACACTCAACGGGGCCTATATAAGCAGAGGCAAGACCCCAGATGAGTCACTTGCGTTCCGACGATCTTCGAGGAAACATCAGCAACAAGGTAAGTGTTCTGGTAGATAGTCTTGGTAGTAGTAGTGGATCCGTAAGAACGCGGTTTATAAATCGGTTCTACGACCTGGACAGGATCACTGGCGTCCCGGTGTGGTTTCCTAGAAATCAGCCCAGACCCAGTCGTGATCACTGAGGCGGCCCGGTTTTCGTAATACAGGCCCACCTCAGTGAGTTCCCCCAGAAGTCACGTTTCCGGCTCCCGACCCGGAAACGAAACGGATGTAGAAACGGCAGTTCGAACCTAACGATGCCCGGCAGACCGAAACTAACGATGCCCTACATTCCCGAATCCCACTAGAAACCAAGTAGATCTCTCCCAACGACCCAGAACACTTCGACCCGACGTACGCACGACGAAGCAGTACATAACTCGGCCCATCCGCAGCGCCGATACTCGCAGCAAGCAGTCCATCACTCGGCCCATCCGCAGCGCCGATACTCGCAGCAAGCAGTCCATCACTCGGCCCATCCGCAGCGCCGACACTCGCAGCAAGCAGTTCATCACTCGGCCCATCCGCAGCGCCGACACTCACAGCAAGCAGTTCACCACTCGGCCCATTCGCAGCGCCGACACTCGCACACCGGATCACGGCAGCAAGCAGTCCATCACTCGGCTCTTCCGAAGCGCCGAATCGACAGAACAAGCAGTCCCGACGCATCTACACACAACTACACGATTATACGATTACTTTGAAATACACGTCTCTAGTTTTACCCATCTGTGTCATTATTGGGGAAAGGGAGGTAAACCGATCTATAGAGGAATAAATATAAATATCTGTCACGAACCCTGACCACGGCGAGCTATACCGCCTCCCAAAACAGGGTCGTTACAGTGGCGCCCGAACAGGTTAAAAACAAACAGATAGAAACCTCAAAATACCAGCAAAGATCGTTTACCCTCTTCCTCAACACAGCACGGATTAAAAATGGAAGACAAACTGACTCGAAGCTGGATCAACAATTGCAACAAGACCCAACTGGAAATCTATCTGAGGGAATTCGACATCAAGCCAGAAACGCGGTGCGAGGACATGCGGAAACAAATGTCGGAGTTAATTAAGAGCGGTGCCCACAGCGAAGAAACCAGCAAACGTCTCCAAGACCTAGCACAGAAGCACGCGAGAACACCATCACCAGCACCCGACGGAATGGAGAAAAACCAGAACTTGCTACAGATACCAGACAAACAAGAGACAAGCAACGGAAAACCCGCACCCGAGCCCAGAAAGACCGACAAAGTGGCCACAATGGGAGTAATACGAAGCTGGGGAGAATTTTACGACGGCACGGGCGACCCGACAGAATTCATTTCTAGTATGGAAGAGCTGGCAAAGGCCTATGGGATAGAGCTCGACCACGCAGCAGGAGCTATAATAATTTTGCTCAGAGACTGTGCCCTGGACTGGTGGCACAACCATCCTACCCCAATGCCATCGAGGGAAAACTTTAAAAAGGAATTCCTGGGATACTACAGACCAACGGACCACGAAGATAGAGCGATGGAAAACATAACACGCAGACACCAGGGTACAAACGAGCCAGCAAAAGACTACGCGCGGGAACTACGGAAGATTATGAGATTTACCACACTCACGGAAGGAAAAAAACTAGAGTGGGTCTACCGGAACAGTCGTGTGGAATTTAAAAAGTATGCTAAACGGGGAGAATGCCGAACCCTAGCAGAATACCTGCAGTTAGCAAAGGAATTCGAGGCCCTCCAGCCACAGGAACGCACAACACAACAAACACCGGAGAATCACTGGACACAACAGCAGCGACCGGGAAATTTCGGGAGACAACAGCAAACATCCGGAAATTTCGGGAGACAAACAAGAAACCAATGGAGACCCCAGGAACAACCACAAACACTGGACCGAGGAATCACAAGATCATTCAGCATGAATAATAGATGTTCAAGGTGCAAAGAAGAAGGACACATAGGACAGCAGTGCAACAACACACCAAGAATATATTGCTGGATATGCGGACATGATGGAATACGCACAATCCATTGCTGTCGACGGAATGAAACGGCGGGAAACGCCAGAGGCCCATGGGATCAGAGCGGGCACCCAGGGCAAACACCACACCCGCAACAGCAATAAACTTCAACGGCCGACGACTGATTGCACAAGTGAATATAGGCAACACAAGAGTTCGCGGGGCCATAGACACGGGAGCAACAAGAAGTTTCATCGCCAGGAAACTAGCCAACAACATTTCAAGGCAGGGGATAAGGAAGCAAGTAACCGAAGCCATTAGACTAGCAGACGGGACAAACAGAACGGTCACAGAGGCACTGGAAGTACCAATACATCTCGGGAACCAAACAAGCACGATGACGCTGCTAATCCTCGAAGAAGTAATCGGCGACCTTCTACTGGGGATAGACTTCTTGGAACAATGTAACGCGACACTACAATGCGGAGGCATCACAGCAAGAATGCACAGAAAAAAAGAAACAAAAACAGAACACGGAAGAGTCACGGCATCGGATCACTAGCGACAGGCGATTTAACAGACGCAGAGATCCAAGAAACCCTCAAAAAGGAATTGGATATGATGAGTCAAATCAAGGGAGTTAGCCACATTGCCACGAATAAGATCTTTATGAAGCACGATCGCCCAATTAAACAGAGGTATTACCCTCGAAACCCGGCCATGCAAGCAATAATAAACAAACAAGTGGACGTGGCAGGTCCAGCTGGTTGCAGGAAGCCAACCCAGGCCGCTCCGGTAGGCAGACAAGCGCCAGCCAGGAAACCAATTCCTACACCGACCACGGCAACAACACGGCAAACGATGGCGACACCAACAACCAGGGAAACGACCACGGCAACAACACGGCAAACGATAACATCACCAACAACCAGGAAAACAACCACGGCAACAACACGGCAAACGATGGCGACATCAACAACCAGGGAAACGACCACGGCAACAACACGGCAAACGATAACAACACCAACAACCAGGAAAACGACCACGGCAACAAAACGGCAACCGATGACAACAACAACAACCAAGGAAACGACACGGCAAACAACGGACAACGAAGCACGTCCCCTCACGCCCAGGACAACAACCGGAACAAAAAGGAACAAGCTGGCTGATTTCCAACGACCACAAACAAAATGGGTAACCCCGCGGCGGCTCTCTTCACTCGACCATCCCGGAACAAAACGGTTCAAACCATCAGAAGAAAGTGAAGAGGACTGGGAACCAAAACCGCGGGGATACGACAATCACATGAAAAGGGTGGAAGAAGCGGTCACACACCTAAAGACAACCTGGCGCAGAGGGAACAGAAGATCTAGACTGGTGGTCTCGGACAACCTCACGACCCGAATCCGGATCGGGAGAAGTGGACACATCCAAAAAACACCGGGGAGACACCAACGTCCTAAGCGGGGGGTGTGACGACCCAGCGTCACAAATAATAAAAGAACATTCCAAAAACAACACACAATGATCTTTTATTCTCCCTAAGCTACACCACATTCAAAACACGCGCCAAAAATCGCAAAATCGCGCACTTTCAAAACGCGCGCCCAAAAACATTAAACCGGTCACACTAATATACCGATAGTCGACTACCATCGCTATATTTCGTGACCCGATAACGAGTTATCGAGATCGGGATTCTCGTCATCGACCACTCTGGGCACACTCAACGGGGCCTATATAAGCAGAGGCAAGACCCCAGATGAGTCACTTGCGTTCCGACGATCTTCGAGGAAACATCAGCAACAAGGTAAGTGTTCTGGTAGATAGTCTTGGTAGTAGTAGTGGATCCGTAAGAACGCGGTTTATAAATCGGTTCTACGACCTGGACAGGATCACTGGCGTCCCGGTGTGGTTTCCTAGAAATCAGCCCAGACCCAGTCGTGATCACTGAGGCGGCCCGGTTTTCGTAATACAGGCCCACCTCAGTGAGTTCCCCCAGAAGTCACGTTTCCGGCTCCCGAACCGGAAACGAAACGGATGTAGAAACGGCAGTTCGAACCTAACGATGCCCGGCAGACCGAAACTAACGATGCCCTACATTCCCGAATCCCACTAGAAACCAAGTAGATCTCTCCCAACGACCCAGAACACTTCGACCCGACGTACGCACGACGAAGCAGTACATAACTCGGCCCATCCGCAGCGCCGATACTCGCAGCAAGCAGTCCATCACTCGGCCCATCCGCAGCGCCGATACTCGCAGCAAGCAGTCCATCACTCGGCCCATCCGCAGCGCCGACACTCGCAGCAAGCAGTTCATCACTCGGCCCATCCGCAGCGCCGACACTCACAGCAAGCAGTTCACCACTCGGCCCATTCGCAGCGCCGACACTCGCACACCGGATCACGGCAGCAAGCAGTCCATCACTCGGCTCTTCCGAAGCGCCGAATCGACAGAACAAGCAGTCCCGACGCATCTACACACAACTACACGATTATACGATTACTTTGAAATACACGTCTCTAGTTTTACCCATCTGTGTCATTATTGGGGAAAGGGAGGTAAACCGATCTATAGAGGAATAAATATAAATATCTGTCACGAACCCTGACCACGGCGAGCTATACCGCCTCCCAAAACAGGGTCGTTACAGTGGCGCCCGAACAGGTTAAAAACAAACAGATAGAAACCTCAAAATACCAGCAAAGATCGTTTACCCTCTTCCTCAACACAGCACGGATTAAAAATGGAAGACAAACTGACTCGAAGCTGGATCAACAATTGCAACAAGACCCAACTGGAAATCTATCTGAGGGAATTCGACATCAAGCCAGAAACGCGGTGCGAGGACATGCGGAAACAAATGTCGGAGTTAATTAAGAGCGGTGCCCACAGCGAAGAAACCAGCAAACGTCTCCAAGACCTAGCACAGAAGCACGCGAGAACACCATCACCAGCACCCGACGGAATGGAGAAAAACCAGAACTTGCTACAGATACCAGACAAACAAGAGACAAGCAACGGAAAACCCGCACCCGAGCCCAGAAAGACCGACAAAGTGGCCACAATGGGAGTAATACGAAGCTGGGGAGAATTTTACGACGGCACGGGCGACCCGACAGAATTCATTTCTAGTATGGAAGAGCTGGCAAAGGCCTATGGGATAGAGCTCGACCACGCAGCAGGAGCTATAATAATTTTGCTCAGAGACTGTGCCCTGGACTGGTGGCACAACCATCCTACCCCAATGCCATCGAGGGAAAACTTTAAAAAGGAATTCCTGGGATACTACAGACCAACGGACCACGAAGATAGAGCGATGGAAAACATAACACGCAGACACCAGGGTACAAACGAGCCAGCAAAAGACTACGCGCGGGAACTACGGAAGATTATGAGATTTACCACACTCACGGAAGGAAAAAAACTAGAGTGGGTCTACCGGAACAGTCGTGTGGAATTTAAAAAGTATGCTAAACGGGGAGAATGCCGAACCCTAGCAGAATACCTGCAGTTAGCAAAGGAATTCGAGGCCCTCCAGCCACAGGAACGCACAACACAACAAACACCGGAGAATCACTGGACACAACAGCAGCGACCGGGAAATTTCGGGAGACAACAGCAAACATCCGGAAATTTCGGGAGACAAACAAGAAACCAATGGAGACCCCAGGAACAACCACAAACACTGGACCGAGGAATCACAAGATCATTCAGCATGAATAATAGATGTTCAAGGTGCAAAGAAGAAGGACACATAGGACAGCAGTGCAACAACACACCAAGAATATATTGCTGGATATGCGGACATGATGGAATACGCACAATCCATTGCTGTCGACGGAATGAAACGGCGGGAAACGCCAGAGGCCCATGGGATCAGAGCGGGCACCCAGGGCAAACACCACACCCGCAACAGCAATAAACTTCAACGGCCGACGACTGATTGCACAAGTGAATATAGGCAACACAAGAGTTCGCGGGGCCATAGACACGGGAGCAACAAGAAGTTTCATCGCCAGGAAACTAGCCAACAACATTTCAAGGCAGGGGATAAGGAAGCAAGTAACCGAAGCCATTAGACTAGCAGACGGGACAAACAGAACGGTCACAGAGGCACTGGAAGTACCAATACATCTCGGGAACCAAACAAGCACGATGACGCTGCTAATCCTCGAAGAAGTAATCGGCGACCTTCTACTGGGGATAGACTTCTTGGAACAATGTAACGCGACACTACAATGCGGAGGCATCACAGCAAGAATGCACAGAAAAAAAGAAACAAAAACAGAACACGGAAGAGTCACGGCATCGGATCACTAGCGACAGGCGATTTAACAGACGCAGAGATCCAAGAAACCCTCAAAAAGGAATTGGATATGATGAGTCAAATCAAGGGAGTTAGCCACATTGCCACGAATAAGATCTTTATGAAGCACGATCGCCCAATTAAACAGAGGTATTACCCTCGAAACCCGGCCATGCAAGCAATAATAAACAAACAAGTGGACGTGGCAGGTCCAGCTGGTTGCAGGAAGCCAACCCAGGCCGCTCCGGTAGGCAGACAAGCGCCAGCCAGGAAACCAATTCCTACACCGACCACGGCAACAACACGGCAAACGATGGCGACACCAACAACCAGGGAAACGACCACGGCAACAACACGGCAAACGATAACATCACCAACAACCAGGAAAACAACCACGGCAACAACACGGCAAACGATGGCGACACCAACAACCAGGGAAACGACCACGGCAACAACACGGCAAACGATAACAACACCAACAACCAGGAAAACGACCACGGCAACAAAACGGCAACCGATGACAACAACAACAACCAAGGAAACGACACGGCAAACAACGGACAACGAAGCACGACCCCTCACGCCCAGGACAACAACCGGAACAAAAAGGAACAAGCTGGCTGATTTCCAACGACCACAAACAAAATGGGTAACCCCGCGGCGGCTCTCTTCACTCGACCATCCCGGAACAAAACGGTTCAAACCATCAGAAGAAAGTGAAGAGGACTGGGAACCAAAACCGCGGGGATACGACAATCACATGAAAAGGGTGGAAGAAGCGGTCACACACCTAAAGACAACCTGGCGCAGAGGGAACAGAAGATCTAGACTGGTGGTCTCGGACAACCTCACGACCCGAATCCGGATCGGGAGAAGTGGACACATCCAAAAAACACCGGGGAGACACCAACGTCCTAAGCGGGGGGTGTGACGACCCAGCGTCACAAATAATAAAAGAACATTCCAAAAACAACACACAATGATCTTTTATTCTCCCTAAGCTACACCACATTCAAAACACGCGCCAAAAATCGCAAAATCGCGCACTTTCAAAACGCGCGCCCAAAAACATTAAACCGGTCACACTAATATACCGATAGTCGACTACCATCGCTATATTTCGTGACCCGATAACGAGTTATCGAGATCGGGATTCTCGTCATCGACCACTCTGGGCACACTCAACGGGGCCTATATAAGCAGAGGCAAGACCCCAGATGAGTCACTTGCGTTCCGACGATCTTCGAGGAAACATCAGCAACAAGGTAAGTGTTCTGGTAGATAGTCTTGGTAGTAGTAGTGGATCCGTAAGAACGCGGTTTATAAATCGGTTCTACGACCTGGACAGGATCACTGGCGTCCCGGTGTGGTTTCCTAGAAATCAGCCCAGACCCAGTCGTGATCACTGAGGCGGCCCGGTTTTCGTAATACAGGCCCACCTCAGTGAGTTCCCCCAGAAGTCACGTTTCCGGCTCCCGAACCGGAAACGAAACGGATGTAGAAACGGCAGTTCGAACCTAACGATGCCCGGCAGACCGAAACTAACGATGCCCTACATTCCCGAATCCCACTAGAAACCAAGTAGATCTCTCCCAACGACCCAGAACACTTCGACCCGACGTACGCACGACGAAGCAGTACATAACTCGGCCCATCCGCAGCGCCGATACTCGCAGCAAGCAGTCCATCACTCGGCCCATCCGCAGCGCCGATACTCGCAGCAAGCAGTCCATCACTCGGCCCATCCGCAGCGCCGACACTCGCAGGAAGCAGTTCATCACTCGGCCCATCCGCAGCGCCGACACTCACAGCAAGCAGTTCACCACTCGGCCCATTCGCAGCGCCGACACTCGCACACCGGATCACGGCAGCAAGCAGTCCATCACTCGGCTCTTCCGAAGCGCCGAATCGACAGAACAAGCAGTCCCGACGCATCTACACACAACTACACGATTATACGATTACTTTGAAATACACGTCTCTAGTTTTACCCATCTGTGTCATTATTGGGGAAAGGGAGGTAAACCGATCTATAGAGGAATAAATATAAATATCTGTCACGAACCCTGACCACGGCGAGCTATACCGCCTCCCAAAACAGGGTCGTTACAGTGGCGCCCGAACAGGTTAAAAACAAACAGATAGAAACCTCAAAATACCAGCAAAGATCGTTTACCCTCTTCCTCAACACAGCACGGATTAAAAATGGAAGACAAACTGACTCGAAGCTGGATCAACAATTGCAACAAGACCCAACTGGAAATCTATCTGAGGGAATTCGACATCAAGCCAGAAACGCGGTGCGAGGACATGCGGAAACAAATGTCGGAGTTAATCAAGAGCGGTGCCCACAGCGAAGAAACCAGCAAACGTCTCCAAGACCTAGCACAGAAGCACGCGAGAACACCATCACCAGCACCCGACAGAATGGAGAAAAACCAGAATTTGCTACAGATACCAGACAAACAAGAGACAAGCAACGGAAAACCCGCACCCGAGCCCAGAAAGACCGACAAAGTGGCCACAATGGGAGTAATACGAAGCTGGGGAGAATTTTACGACGGCACGGGCGACCCGACAGAATTCATTTCTAGTATGGAAGAGCTGGCAAAGGCCTATGGGATAGAGCTCGACCACGCAGCAGGAGCTATGGTAATTTTGCTCAGAGACTGTGCCCTGGACTGGTGGCACAACCATCCTACCCCAATGCCATCGAGGGAAAACTTTAAAAAGGAATTCCTGGGATACTACAGACCAACGGACCACGAACAGAGAGCGATGGAAAACATAACACGCAGACACCAGGGTACAAACGAGCCAGCAAAAGACTACGCGCGGGAACTACGGAAGATTATGAGATTTACCACACTCACGGAAGGAAAAAAACTAGAGTGGGTCTACCGGAACAGTCGTGTGGAATTTAAAAAGTATGCTAAACGGGGAGAATGCCGAACCCTAGCAGAATACCTGCAGTTAGCAAAGGAATTCGAGGCCCTCCAGCCACAGGAACGCACAACACAACAAACACCGGAGAATCACTGGACACAACAGCAGCGACCGGGAAATTTCGGGAGACAACAGCAAACATCCGGAAATTTCGGGAGACAAACAAGAAACCAATGGAGACCCCAGGAACAACCACAAACACTGAACCGAGGAATCACAAGATCATTCAGCATGAATAATAGATGTTTAAGGTGCAAAGAAGAAGGACACATAGGACAGCAGTGCAACAACACACCAAGAATATATTGCTGGATATGCGGACATGATGGAATACGCACAATCCATTGCTGTCGACGGAATGAAACGGCGGGAAACGCCAGAGGCCCATGGGATCAGAGCGGGCACCCAGGGCAAACACCACACCCGCAACAGCAATAAACTTCAACGGCCGACGACTGATTGCACAAGTGAATATAGGCAACACAAGAGTTCGCGGGGCCATAGACACGGGAGCAACAAGAAGTTTCATCGCCAGGAAACTAGCCAACAACATTTCAAGGCAGGGGATAAGGAAGCAAGTAACCGAAGCCATTAGACTAGCAGACGGGACAAACAGAACGGTCACAGAGGCACTGGAAGTACCAATACATCTCGGGAACCAAACAAGCACGATGACGCTGCTAATCCTCGAAGAAGTAATCGGCGACCTTCTACTGGGGATAGACTTCTTGGAACAATGTAACGCGACACTACAATGCGGAGGCATCACAGCAAGAATGCACAGAAAAAAAGAAACAAAAACAGAACACGGAAGAGTCACGGCATCGGATCACTAGCGACAGGCGATTTAACAGACGCAGAGATCCAAGAAACCCTCAAAAAGGAATTGGATATGATGAGTCAAATCAAGGGAGTTAGCCACATTGCCACGAATAAGATCTTTATGAAGCACGATCGCCCAATTAAACAGAGGTATTACCCTCGAAACCCGGCCATGCAAGCAATAATAAACAAACAAGTGGACGTGGCAGGTCCAGCTGGTTGCAGGAAGCCAACCCAGGCCGCTCCGGTAGGCAGACAAGCGCCAGCCAGGAAACCAATTCCTACACCGACCACGGCAACAACACGGCAAACGATGGCGACACCAACAACCAGGGAAATGACCACGGCAACAACACGGCAAACGATGGCGACATCAACAACCAGGGAAACGACCACGGCGACAACACGGCAAACGATAACAACACCAACAACCAGGAAAACGACCACGGCAACAAAACGGCAACCGATGACAACAACAACAACCAAGGAAACGACACGGCAAACAACGGACAACGAAGCACGACCCCTCACGCCCAGGACAACAACCGGAACAAAAAGGAACAAGCTGGCTGATTTCCAACGACCACAAACAAAATGGGTAACCCCGCGGCGGCTCTCTTCACTCGACCATCCCGGAACAAAACGGTTCAAACCATCAGAAGAAAGTGAAGAGGACTGGGAACCAAAACCGCGGGGATACGACAATCACATGAAAAGGGTGGAAGAAGCGGTCACACACCTAAAGACAACCTGGCGCAGAGGGAACAGAAGATCTAGACTGGTGGTCTCGGACAACCTCACGACCCGAATCCGGATCGGGAGAAGTGGACACATCCAAAAAACACCGGGGAGACACCAACGTCCTAAGCGGGGGGTGTGACGACCCAGCGTCACAAATAATAAAAGAACATTCCAAAAACAACACACAATGATCTTTTATTCTCCCTAAGCTACACCACATTCAAAACACGCGCCAAAAATCGCAAAATCGCGCACTTTCAAAACGCGCGCCCAAAAACATTAAACCGGTCACACTAATATACCGATAGTCGACTACCATCGCTATATTTCGTGACCCGATAACGAGTTATCGAGATCGGGATTCTCGTCATCGACCACTCTGGGCACACTCAACGGGGCCTATATAAGCAGAGGCAAGACCCCAGATGAGTCACTTGCGTTCCGACGATCTTCGAGGAAACATCAGCAACAAGGTAAGTGTTCTGGTAGATAGTCTTGGTAGTAGTAGTGGATCCGTAAGAACGCGGTTTATAAATCGGTTCTACGACCTGGACAGGATCATACTCGCAGCAAGCAGTCCATCACTCGGCCCATCCGCAGCGCCGATACTCGCAGCATGCAGTCCACCACTCGGCCCATCCGCAGCGCCGACACTCGCAGGAAGCAGTTCATCACTCGGCCCATCCGCAGCGCCGACACTCACAGCAAGCAGTTCACCACTCGGCCCATTCGCAGCGCCGACACTCGCACACCGGATCACGGCAGCAAGCAGTCCATCACTCGGCTCTTCCGAAGCGCCGAATCGACAGAACAAGCAGTCCCGACGCATCTACACACAACTACACGATTATACGATTACTTTGAAATACACGTCTCTAGTTTTACCCATCTGTGTCATTATTGGGGAAAGGGAGGTAAACCGATCTATAGAGGAATAAATATAAATATCTGTCACGAACCCTGACCACGGCGAGCTATACCGCCTCCCAAAACAGGGTCGTTACAGTGGCGCCCGAACAGGTTAAAAACAAACAGATAGAAACCTCAAAATACCAGCAAAGATCGTTTACCCTCTTCCTCAACACAGCACGGATTAAAAATGGAAGACAAACTGACTCGAAGCTGGATCAACAATTGCAACAAGACCCAACTGGAAATCTATCTGAGGGAATTCGACATCAAGCCAGAAACGCGGTGCGAGGACATGCGGAAACAAATGTCGGAGTTAATCAAGAGCGGTGCCCACAGCGAAGAAACCAGCAAACGTCTCCAAGACCTAGCACAGAAGCACGCGAGAACACCATCACCAGCACCCGACGGAATGGAGAAAAACCAGAATTTGCTACAGATACCAGACAAACAAGAGACAAGCAACGGAAAACCCGCACCCGAGCCCAGAAAGACCGACAAAGTGGCCACAATGGGAGTAATACGAAGCTGGGGAGAATTTTACGACGGCACGGGCGACCCGACAGAATTCATTTCTAGTATGGAAGAGCTGGCAAAGGCCTATGGGATAGAGCTCGACCACGCAGCAGGAGCTATGGTAATTTTGCTCAGAGACTGTGCCCTGGACTGGTGGCACAACCATCCTACCCCAATGCCATCGAGGGAAAACTTTAAAAAGGAATTCCTGGGATACTACAGACCAACGGACCACGAAGAGAGAGCGATGGAAAACATTACACGCAGACACCAGGGTACAAACGAGCCAGCAAAAGACTACGCGCGGGAACTACGGAAGATTATGAGATTTACCACACTCACGGAAGGAAAAAAACTAGAGTGGGTCTACCGGAACAGTCGTGTGGAATTTAAAAAGTATGCTAAACGGGGAGAATGCCGAACCCTAGCAGAATACCTGCAGTTAGCAGAGGAATTCGAGGCCCTCCAGCCACAGGAACGCACAACACAACAAACACCGGAGAATCACTGGACACAACAGCAGCGACCGGGAAATTTCGGGAGACAACAGCAAACATCCGGAAATTTCGGGAGACAAACAAGAAACCAATGGAGACCCCAGGAACAACCACAAACACTGAACCGAGGAATCACAAGATCATTCAGCATGAATAATAGATGTTCAAGGTGCAAAGAAGAAGGACACATAGGACAGCAGTGCAACAACACACCAAGAATATATTGCTGGATATGCGGACATGATGGAATACGCACAATCCATTGCTGTCGACGGAATGAAACGGCGGGAAACGCCAGAGGCCCATGGGATCAGAGCGGGCACCCAGGGCAAACACCACACCCGCAACAGCAATAAACTTCAACGGCCGACGACTGATTGCACAAGTGAATATAGGCAACACAAGAGTTCGCGGGGCCATAGACACGGGAGCAACAAGAAGTTTCATCGCCAGGAAACTAGCCAACAACATTTCAAGGCAGGGGATAAGGAAGCAAGTAACCGAAGCCATTAGACTAGCAGACGGGACAAACAGAACGGTCACAGAGGCACTGGAAGTACCAATACATCTCGGGAACCAAACAAGCACGATGACGCTGCTAATCCTCGAAGAAGTAATCGGCGACCTTCTACTGGGGATAGACTTCTTGGAACAATGTAACGCGACACTACAATGCGGAGGCATCACAGCAAGAATGCACAGAAAAAAAGAAACAAAAACAGAACACGGAAGAGTCACGGCATCGGATCACTAGCGACAGGCGATTTAACAGACGCAGAGATCCAAGAAACCCTCAAAAAGGAATTGGATATGATGAGTCAAATCAAGGGAGTTAGCCACATTGCCACGAATAAGATCTTTATGAAGCACGATCGCCCAATTAAACAGAGGTATTACCCTCGAAACCCGGCCATGCAAGCAATAATAAACAAACAAGTGGACGTGGCAGGTCCAGCTGGTTGCAGGAAGCCAACCCAGGCCGCTCCGGTAGGCAGACAAGCGCCAGCCAGGAAACCAATTCCTACACCGACCACGGCAACAACACGGCAAACGATGGCGACATCAACAACCAGGGAAACGACCACGGCAACAACACGGCAAACGATAACAACACCAACAACCAGGAAAACGACCACGGCAACAAAACGGCAACCGATGACAACAACAACAACCAAGGAAACGACACGGCAAACAACGGACAACGAAGCACGACCCCTCACGCCCAGGACAACAACCGGAACAAAAAGGAACAAGCTGGCTGATTTCCAACGACCACAAACAAAATGGGTAACCCCGCGGCGGCTCTCTTCACTCGACCATCCCGGAACAAAACGGTTCAAACCATCAGAAGAAAGTGAAGAGGACTGGGAACCAAAACCGCGGGGATACGACAATCACATGAAAAGGGTGGAAGAAGCGGTCACACACCTAAAGACAACCTGGCGCAGAGGGAACAGAAGATCTAGACTGGTGGTCTCGGACAACCTCACGACCCGAATCCGGATCGGGAGAAGTGGACACATCCAAAAAACACCGGGGAGACACCAACGTCCTAAGCGGGGGGTGTGACGACCCAGCGTCACAAATAATAAAAGAACATTCCAAAAAACAACACACAATGATCTTTTATTCTCCCTAAGCTACACCACATTCAAAACACGCGCCAAAAATCGCAAAATCGCGCACTTTCAAAACGCGCGCCCAAAAACATTAAACCGGTCACACTAATATACCGATAGTCGACTGCCATCGCTATATTCGTGACCCGGTAACGAGTTATCGAGATCGGGATTCTCGTCATCGACCACTCTGGGCACACTCAACGGGGCCTATATAAGCAGAGGCAAGACCCCAGATGAGTCACTTGCGTTCCGACGATCTTCGAGGAAACATCAGGTTCTACGACCTGGTCAGGATCACTGGCGTCCCGGTTTGGTTTCCTAGAAATCAGCCCAGACCCAGTCGTGATCACTGAGGCGGCCCGGTTTTCGTAATACAGGCCCACCTCAGTGAGTTCCCCCAGAAGTCACGTTTCCGGCTCCCGACCCGGAAACGAAACGGATGTAGAAACGGCAGTTCGAACCTAACGATGCCCGGCAGACCGAAACTAACGATGCCCTACATTCCCGAATCCCACTAGAAACCAAGTAGATCTCTCCCAACGACCCAGAACACTCCGACCCGACGTACGCACGACGAAGCAGTTTATAACTCGGCCCATCCGCAGCGCCGATACTCGCAGCAAGCAGTCCATCACTCGGCCTATCCGCAGCGCCGATACTCGCAGCAAGCAGTTCATCAGTCGGCCCATCCGCAGCGCCGACACTCAGAGCAAGCAGTTCATCACTCGGCCCATCCGCAGCGCCGACACTCGCAGCAAGCAGTTCACCACTCGGCCCATTCGCAGCACCGACACTCGCACACCGGATCACGACAGCAAGCAGTCCATCACTCGGCTCTTCCGAAGCGCCGAATCGACAGAACAAGCAGTCCCGACGCATCTACACACAACTACACGATTATACGATTACTTTGAAATACACGTCTCTAGTTTTACCCATCTGTGTCATTATTGGGGAAAGGGAGGTAAACCGATCTATAGAGGAATAAATATAAATATCTGTCACGAACCCTGACCACGGCGACCTATACCGCCTCCCAAAACAGGGTCGTTACACATCATTGATTAAATTGTAACATTTGTTTCTATCTTCCCGACGATCCCGCCGAGAGTCATCTTCTATTGAATGTAAAAATGTTTAACGATGATGATCATTTTAATATTTCATATTGTTCATTATCATTTAGATCAAATGTTTTTTTGTTTTAATGAGCAATTCAATCTTTGTTCTTCAAGTCATATGAATCATAACTCATCCATTCACTATGTATTATACACGTGATTCGTTA